GAGGAGGAGGTGCCTCCTGAGCTGAAGGATGCCCTTGTGCTACCACTGTACAAGGGCAAAGGGAGCAAGCAATGTTGCACGAATTATCGTGGCATCAACTTGCTGAGTTGTGTGGGCAAGGTGATTGCCCGAATCCTGCTCAATCGCCTCGTGAGTCAGGTTGTGGAGCCTAACGTGGCGGAAGAACAATGTGGATCCCTTTCGGGTCGCAGCACTATAGATATGGTGTTTGCGGTTTGTCAGTTCCAGGAGAATTGCAGAGAACGACACCAGCCATTGTACTCACTTTTTGTCGATTTCACCAAAGCATTTGATACGGTGAACCGCGAGGCATTGTGGCTGGTGTCGGGTAAGTTTGGTTGCCCGCGTAAGTTTGTAAGTTTAATTGAATGTCTGCACAGTGGTATGCGAGCTAAGGTGCAGCTGAGTGGAGAGACCTCGGATGACTTTGCAGTTGTCTCTGGTGTGAAGCAAGGCTGTGTCTTAGCTGCTGCTCTGTTTAATATAATAATAATAATAATGTGTCAGCTGTACGCCGTAAGGGCGCTTTGCTGCCGCGCGACCACCACCAGTCGCGCGCGGGCTGAATACACCGCGAGGACGCCCACCCCTACGCGGAGTCGAACCGGTGACCTTGTGGTTGCAAAGCAAACTTGCAGACCACTCGGCCACCGGCCGATTTGTGCTTACGGTGTTCGTGTGGAGCACCGTATTGATGGTGGGTTGCTGAACATCCGTCGTTTCGGTGCGAGAAATCTAGTCTGTGAGACAACTATCCGTATGTTGCTGTTTGCTGACGACTGTGCGTTGTTTTCACACAGCGCGGATGAGTTGCAGCATATGACTAGTGCTCTGGCTTCGGCAGCGGCCAAATTCGGGCTCACCATCAACACAAGCAAAACTGTCTGTCTCTTTCAGCCTTCACCAGAGGTGCAATCTTCAATATTGCCGCGAATCAGCATTGGTGCTGAAGTATTGGAAACCACCTCCCGTTTCAGCTACTTTGGGAGTGTGATTTTGACTGATCAGCAGCTACATGTTGAGTTGCGTATTCGCGTGTCGAAGGCAGCAGCGGCATTCGGGAAGCTAGAGTACCGAGTGTGGAACAACCATCAGCTTACCATTGGCACGAAGCTGATGGTGTACAAATCCATGGTACTGTCCGTTCTTCTATACGGCAGTGAAACGTGGACAATGTACCGTCGGGATGTGCGATATCTCGAGCGGTTCCATCAGCAGTGTCTGCGACGAATTTTGCGGGTTGGTTGGGGCGCCAGAGTTGCAGACACGGTAGTTTTGCGCCGAAGTGGGATGTATCCAGTGGACTGCATACTTTTACTGCGACACCTGAGATGGCTCGGTCATGTGAGCCGTATGGATTCGACGCGGATACCGAAACAACTTTTATACGGTCAGCTGAGTATAGGGAAGCGGCACGTGGGGAAACCAAAGTTACGTTACCAGGACATGATTAAAGTGAGCCTCACACGTTCTAATCTTGATTGCAGATCATGGGAATCGAAGGCGGTTGATCGTGGTTCATGGCGCGATCTAATCGCGAAGGCAGTTGATGAAGTGCGGGAGAAAGCCCTCATGCATGCAGAGAAGAAGCGGCAAGTGCGGAAGCGGCAATCACCAATGAATTGTACTCCATCGACATCGAGCGCATGGTGCTGTAGAACATGCGGTCGTGAGTGCCTTAGTCAGGCAGGCCTAGTGAGCCATGAGAGAGGTCACTCGGGACCACTGCCGAAGCGCCGACGGGTCCCGCAGTGAACGTAGGCAGCACCGGCGCAGCGTTTGTAGGCACGCTGAATTCGATTTACTAACCGCGTGCTTGCATGCTAAGTCTCTTTATTTCAGGTGGTGGGTTTGCGATTCTCTCCTAATGCCTTTCTTTCTCATATAAATGTCTAGTGGGCCATGAGCTAGGTCCTTTGGGGCCACTACAGAAGCGACGACGGGTCCTGCAGAGAATTACGGCGAGCCGGCGCAGCGTTTGTAGGCACGCTGAATTCGATTTACTAACCGCGTGCTTGCATGCTAAGTCTCTTTATTTCAGGTGGTGGGTTTACAGTTTGTGCCTTAATGCTTTTCTTTCTCATATAAATGTCTACCAGTACTCTATTCCATTAACTTGCACACCTTGCCTAAGCCAATTGTATTCGATTTCCGTAGCATATTTGTGTTCGTGGCATTCCGTGAACTATATTTCCTGACCTCGTGCACTTAGCTAGGATTTGTTTGTAAACAACTTATTACATATGCTATTTAATTAAGGTTTATATCACCGTTTCCTTATGCATTAATCGAGTTTTTCTCTTTTTCTTTCTTTTTTCTTTTTCTTTCTCTCAAGTGTTTGGCTGTTGTTTGATATCCCCGGTGTGGATGCGCTTGATGTGCATGTTGACAAGGTGCCTACCTGTCTATTACCCACTACCTCGTCCATACTGGCTCCAGGAAACAGTTGGTCGTTGCTGGAGGGGACGGGGTGCACGGTCCTTGTGGCCGTGTTAGGATCAAAGAGTGGTTCCATGCAGTCAGTGTGGAGCGGACTACGGTCCAGCCACCGCCTTGTGTGCGCTTGATTCCCAAATACAGTGTGCTTGTGTTTGCCTGTGAAGGAGTGTGGGCCGGCTCCGTTGATGAAACGTGGTTCCCATCCACATGTCTCCCGGTCTTATTCCTTCGGGTTTACACTGGATATGGGGTGTGTGGTTGGAGCTGTGGGTGGTGCAGCGCAAGCCATCCATGGTCCCTCTGTAGGCGCAGGCGTACTGTGGCTTGCCACAGTGACAGGCAAATCCGAAACCGCATGCCGCCAACTATGTAAGCTAGCAACTAGACATAGAGCCAACAAAGCAATGGAGATTAGCAGCTTAGGTGAAATCACTGCGTCATAATTACCGTGGCATAGTAGTTGCGAGTGAACAACACACTTCAACTACTATGCTGCAGGAAGAAAGGAACCTTTTGACAAAAAGTAGAACAAACAATGTTAGTCGGTTTTTTCACACGCTGATTTTTCCCTTTTTTGTCATTTTCAATGCTTCAAGTATGTAACATGTGAACCAATATGATTCTACACACAGATCTTCCACTGATTCCGGTTGCGGGCCATATCTTCAAGAGTGTTAAGACATTGGCACTTCTCATATTTTGGTCCCCATTCTGGAAAACGTACGGGTCCAACAGCGGCTAGACAAGAAGTCAGCGATTTCATGTGCTGTCGTAAAGTGGATTGCTGACCACCACACGGTCGAATGAAGCCAGGTCTTTGACGAGCGAATAGAGCGCAACACGGTAGACATTCACGTGCCATGCATTGGACGTGATCGAACCATCTCAACTGTGCAGCAAAACCATTTTGTTGAAGGGAATACTCGCATTCCCCAAGCTGCGACGCCGAACGTCATTACTGTTAACTCGATGTTGTCACCAAACACGAGCAATCTTCCTTAAGCAACCGTTATCGAAGGCAGAAAGACGACGCATGTCTTCCACGCCAATCGACCAGGACTCGCTCCCATACAACAATACTGAACAAACAGATGCGCTGTAAAGGCGGCCCTTTAGCGAGAATGAGACGTCGTGACGACGCCACAAGTGTCTCAGATCGGCAATTGCTGATCGAGCATTAGCGATGCGAAGAGAAACTTCTTTGCGGATAGTGCGATCAGTAGAAACACAGCTCCCAAGGAAGACGAAAGTATCCACCTGTTCAAGTTGTGCACTTTCGAGAGTGAGCACGGGAGCAGGTGTAAGTCTGGAGCAGTATTTTACACTTCGATGTGGCGTAGCTCATGCCATACTTAGATGCTTCAACCGCCAAACGATCCAGAATGAGTTGCATACCCTGAGGAACGTCACTAAGTAAGGCGATATCATCAGCATAATCTAAGTCGGTCGCGCGCTCACCCGGTAGAAGCTCTAAACCAAAATGTTGGAAACCTTCTAGAGCATTTGACAGAACGTCTTCGATTGCGAAGTTGAAGAAGAATGTGGACATGGGGCAGCCCTGTCGCACACCGCTATTGACAGCGAATTGTGAGGAAAGCTTGCCATATACCCTCACTCTGCTGGATGTATGAAGGTAAAGTGCTCGTAAGATGGCGGTATATTTCTCTAGCACCCCGTTCTTTATCCGGCAACGCTATAAAGCCGGTCGATCAACGGAGTCTAGGAATGCAACGATGGTGGGCCTGTGCTAAATGTGGCGATGTACGAGGAGTTGGCGGAGCGTGAAGATTTGATTCACGCGTTCGCGTCCGGGACGGAAGCTGTGACTTTATTCAATGGCGAGTCACATTCTCCACCTCGCAGTGTTGTTAAACGGACATTTGTGGCTTTTTATGTGCCAGGCGAAAGCCTACAGCTTCTTGGTATGGCCTGAAAAACACTGAGAAATCTCCGTTGAATTGTTGCTCTCCGTCTGGCGCAATTACTACATCGGTTGCACTCGTGTAAATTTGTTTATTTTTGATCTTTAACCGTTCCATCTGGTATTTTTGCTCATTCCTTATTCATTAACATTAATACTAGTGACGTTATTACGTTATAAGAATAATTATTATTGTAGTGGTGTAATTCAGGGTATTTTGATGCACTTCTGCGTACACACATGTGGTGATTGTCTGAACAGAATGTTTGTTTAATCCGTTGTTTCTTGCACGTTTTCTATTAACCTGTTCTTACCTCTAGTCGCCATTTTCATCGTATTCAATGCATTCGGTTTTGGACAGCCGATCTCTGCTCCAGAAGCACTTTACCTAAAAGTGGAAGCTTTTGCATATTCGATAGATTCATACAAATAAGATGAATTCACTGTGGATTGAATCGATGATCTTTTTAAAAGGCCTTCTCTCTAGTTAAGCTATTATCGGATGATGTCGCCTTATCATGTGCCGAATTTTATTCCGACAATTTCTGTAGTGTCTGTGTCGAGATTGATTTCAGCGTTCGCATTTGAATTAATTCACCTGTTTCTTTCTCTGTTGCAGCCTCCGTCTACCCCAACCGATCACTGTCCAACGCGATCTCCTCAAGCAGTTGGTAACTCACGTTACTTCGTCCTGGTGTCCGTCTTCTCCCACAGAGTCTGATCCAGCCCCAATGGCACGATTGTTGTCCGCCTGTGGTTCCGGCGGTCTCGGTCTGCTTACCGCTCTGGGTCTAGACCAACCTATATCTGCGCATCACGACATACGGTCCCCATACGTACAATTGCGTATCGCTCTCGGTCAAAATACTCTGGCCCTGTTGGCCACTTCTAGGCGCCTTGCAGAACCGGTGAATTCCGAGCAGGTATGTGTCACACTGTCTTTCTGTGTTTGCACGCCGGCTCTTGTATATCAGTGCTTCTGGGCTGTCTAACTGCGATGTAAGTGTCAGAACTGCTTGTGTGCATTCGCCTGGTGTCTTTACTCTCGACGTTGGACGATTTGGTCTGCAAGACATCCGTCTTGCCGCTTGACACGTTTTGGATCTTGGAATAGGATTCTCACTTTGGTTTCCCATGCGTAGCGCTGTTATTTCACGCATCAGGCTGCGATTTCTGTGTTATACTATAATACACTGCTGCCACAACGTGCGTGATTTGCGCGACCGGAGTCTGGATGAGGAAGAGGAGAATGGATATCAACGAATGACTTAGTCAGGAGTGATAATGACCCCTACTTTGAACTCCGCATCGGTTGGTGCGTACCTGTTCTGCTTCGTTTCTCTTTTTCAGACCATCCTATTAAGTTATATTGCGGCTCAATCATTGAGGTGTTTCTCGTCTGTAGCTTACCTGTATACTGATAGCCAAGTCAAAATAAACTTTATGCACCCCACGTTTGCGGTTGGCATCTCACTTATTTTTCCTCCTGACCACCCTGTCACCGCTCATCTCGCGTTTGTCCTTTTCAGCTTTCTCAAATCACTATCCCTATGTTGGAACCAGTCCTGTCCCCCGTAGTACTTGTGCTTCGGTGAGTCCCAACGTGTGGATTACAGTGACTCAGTCAAATGACACGCGTGCGTGTACCTGTATTGCACGTTTTTCGATTTCCGACTTTTCTTGCACTTGCTTGCCAAATGCCATCGAGATGACCCATTTTCAATACGTGACCTTCGTTCCTTGGCTTATTTCAGCGGATTTCTGAATCATGTTGGTCACTCAACATATCGATTTCAGAAAGCATAGTAAGACGACGAAGCACTTCTTATCCTCTCTTCAGTACTGATAATAATCAGTGAGAATTAAATACAACTGTCTGGTGATGCAAACTCACAGACAAACAAAAGAAAGACGGAAATCTCTCCCTACATCCAGGGCAATCTGAGGCTGACCGGTTGTTGTTTATGAACACAGAGCACAGGTTCGATCCGATTTATCGCAGCAGCCTCGGCAAAGATGTTCCTCTGGCCTTTGTTCCTCGAAGCGAAGTGCCACAGTAGTGCGGTGGATTCAATCTCCTTAATGTACTTTACGGAAATAATAATTCATGATGATAATAATAATAACTACATTAATACTTTGAGAAGGATGATCAAGATCGATGGACGTAACAATGCTCCGTTAGCGAACGAATACGAGGGCGCGACTATTTCTGTGATCAGATCATATGCGATGTCCTGTCCGTCTCTTCATGTGGCCAATTCTAAAAACACTATCCAGAAACGGGAAAGCACACTTGCTACCTTATCTTTCCGTGAATTTCTTCGTGTTAATCACTGATGACCTCGAGTGTTCGGTACACTGGACACAATATTATCCATTCTGCTCTCCAACAAGTTATAGCCAATATTTTGCGAGTGTCGATGGTCGAACGCTGTCAGTCTCATAATGTCTTCACCAAATGTCCTAACCATACAGCAGCACTGAACACACTGCAGTGTTGTAAACTCACCTTTTGACCGATACCCTCCAACTCCACCGTCTCCATTAGTTATATAGGATCTGAAGAACTGCATGGTTTTTTGCGATACTTGCAATAACTACTTTGATGATGTGCCTACCAGATATGTAGTGATCAACCACTTCGAGCTGTTTTTCGGATGATGATAATTAGTGCTATGTCAGTCAAGTCCTGCTACTGTAGTTTGTACTCTGAATGTTTAAAGAACATGGGAAATCGGGTAGTTCTACGCGCCGATCAACTATTTGGCATTTGTATTACAGATGAGTCCGGTTCCTGGGCTATTTCACCCGGATATTGTAGTTATGGCAGTCAATCGCCTAATATGACTTATCGCGTTGGGAAATCCCATTCCTGATTATTTCGCCGACGTGCTCAGACGAACTTCTTCCGGAACTGTTCAAATGCGGGGGCACGGCCGTTGTCAATCAGCTAACATCTCTATTCCTGGAGATCTGGCGAGAAGACCGGGTATCCTCTTCTTGGTGGGAGTCAGTAATTGTCCCAATCCTCAAGAAAGGTTCTCATGCGCCAATCACAGAGGGATCAGTCTGACATCGGTTGCCTCTAAGACACTACTTCAATCATGTTATGCAGGCTAGCTCTAACGCGTGAAAGACGTTCCTGGGAGGAGCACGCTAGTTTTCGCCGCGATCGGGGATGTATGGACCAAATATTCACACTTCGTCAGCTCGACTATCGTCATCTCTATGGCAGGCTCACCATCGTCACTTTCCTAGACATTCGTTCTGCATTCGACTCGACAGTGCGACCTGCCTTATGTCATTGCGTGCTAAAGAATGGAGTTCCTGAATAGTACGTCCCTATACTCCGGGCTCTATACCCCATACTTCAGGCAGGGTGGGAACCTACGTCAAACTTTTTGCACTCGGTCCTGTCACCTATGGTGTGTGATAAGGTTGTCCTAAATCTCCGTTTCTCTTCAACTCTGCCCTTGAACCCCTGTTAGGAACTTTATTATGGCTGTGAAGTTTAACATCGGGCTTCTTCCAGGTGATCGCGCAACCAAGTTAGATTACGCTGATGATATCGCCTTGCTTAGTGACCACCCTCTTTTCATACAATTGGTTCTTTACCGACTAGTGGTTGAAAGGCCTAGGTCTGGTATGTGCTTTGCCCCCTCCAAGTGTAAGCCGCTATTACGGGATTGGTAATCGCCCCCTTCTTCAGCTCACCATCGAAGGCATACAGCTCGAACAAGGTTCTAGTACGGCTTTTGTGATGAGTTGTTTGTATGCTGACGGAGCGGCTATCAAAAAGGGAACACGTGACCAACGGGGCAGAGACCAGTCTGATTTTCACCGGTCTGTTTCCTACAAAAAATGAGTGAGCCGAAGCTGCATACCGAGTCCGGGTAGCCTGGCGCCAACGAGAATGAGAATGCTACCACACAAAAGTCGTTTGGTCGAACAAAGCAGCTTATTGCAGTTCCAAGTGAGTCATCCCACTCTTTCAGCATTCATATGAGCATTAGTCTCGAGGCAGTGTTTTTCATCCGCAGTCCGATGCTTGTAGGCAGTCACGGGCATGGTTCCGATTTATCGAACTGGCCTGAGGATTGATTTAGAGTCACTACACACCTCAAGTTGGGTTTGCGCGTCACAATTACAGCCGGATCAAATCAGAACGCTTATCCTATTATCTTGCTCACCATTTGTCCTTTCACTTTCGGAACATTTCTCCTCTTTGGAATAGCTCAATCGTATTGCTCATTCTGCCACATTTCGTTCGATCTTCCCTCAACTTTCTGTTCATCTTTCTAGAGCTTTTAACCAATTGTGGCTACCCAATCTCCGTGCTCGGGTGGATCCTTCGCTGACATCCGTTTATGAAATGTCCGATCGAGCAAAGACAGCGGTTCTGTCGCTTCAGTTGACCCGTTCGGAAAGAGTGAGAGCATAAGAGATCCCCCTTGTTTTTTTTGCATCTTATGTGCTCTTTTGTGTACGATCTCATCGCATTTCATTGTAGATGCACGTCGGCGTTCCTTTTGATTTTTACCAAATGTGTCATTCTGTGTAGATCATATTATATCAATAAATAATATGTTGTCGACATTGCGAGGCACACCTGGATAGGCATTATCATAGCAATACCAACACGAGTGATTGGCAAATGTACAATAATGTTGCAAGGTAAGCAGTAGCATATTGGATCTGTGGTGAGTATTTGAGTATATGTCGGTATTAATGTTTGCAGCTGTTGCTTGAATTTGTAGATGTGACGCCGTAGTTGTTGTTATGTTCTGTCGGGACGTGTGCTTGAGGTGGAGTGAAAGGCAAACTTTGTATTGGATGATTGGCGTCCGTGGAGTGTGTATGGCAGTGACTTTATTTTGTGGTGAGTCACACCCGCCACGTCGCAGTGTTGTTAAACAGACATTTGGGGTTTTTCATAAGGGGAATACTTGCCAGACAGAAACCCATCACGTCTTGAAACACTGCCGCTTACACACTGCGAGGTATTCTGTTCAAGCAAGGTGGCAGAGCTATACGCCATCGGGCGCGTCCCCAGGTTGCGGATTGGATAATGCATTGTGGAGGTAACTGCAAATAAGTCTCGTTTGTCTTGCGAGATGAATAAACAGTCGCCGACAATCAACGGCAGCGCCTCACAGCTTGGGGAGTTCTGGGCTGGTCCCCTGGTTCTCCATCAAATGCCACAAGCGCTCGTGCGGTGCTGTGTCAAAGTCAAAGTGACCACTCACTTCTGTAACCAGAGGTGTGTATATAACGGAGAGTGGATAAGCAACCTTGTTGGCCACCGGCTTCTCTGTGGAATTCTGCCGAGCACAAAGAAGGCCTATGACCTACCCGGCTGTCAACAGTCTTCGTTAATCCCTCGGCTGCCTTGCGCGTCCGGTCCTTATAACCAAAAGCTCGTGATGGGATCCCTTAAGTCAACTCTCTTCCTCGGCCTGGTCAACCGGGAAGATCCCTGCTCACCCAACGCATAAACATCTTAACTCTACCACTGTCTACCTGCTTTGCTCTTTTCTATTCTTGTTAACTATATGTTGTAGCACTCTGCAAATTTTATCTTGGTCAAGTGTTTAATAATAATAATAATCCTATTAATAATAACCTATCTTAACATGCCTCCTGCACATTAGAGTCATAGCTTTCAGCATTATGATACTCATTTGTTCGAACGAAGCTGAGCAATTTGATCGCACCGATGAGTTTACGAGAATCCACTTTTCATCGCAGCGACCTTTACAGTGTGGCCACTAATAGCCACTCAGGAATTCTGAGAGTAGGACGACTGGAGTCCGATCCGGACGAGGTTGCTTAGCAGTGTCTGGGGCGCATTTAACGATAAGTCTGTCAGTCAGCAACATCCATCCAGAATTCGCCCGAAGCTCAGCTTATACTATTGTGGCTACTTATGTTGCCACTACGTACGAAATGTGTCAGCGCGATTGGTGGCGAAACGTCTGCAATCGAATTGCTCAGCTCAGCATACAAATGAACACCTCGAGTCTCAACCGGAGTTGCTGATACTTTGAATTATTGAAGGCACGAGCGTTGTTAGATTCGAACATGCATCGGTGCATTTTGTGAAGATTCATCGCAGTTAGACTCAGCCAGACAGTCACCACACATCCAGGAATGCGCTAGACGGCCGTTTCATCCTATTGGGACTCGTCTGTAGAACGCTGCTGCCGAATCCTCCCGGATTTTCTCACACGACCTAACACTTGCGAGCTAGCGACTTATGCCACTGAGCCATGTGTAATGACAGCGGACCGCCCTGACTGATATATCACCACGATATAGTGCGGCTCATTCACCACTGTGGCCCAATACATCTCTCTACTACTTACAAGCAATCAGTAGTTGCCTTAGCAGCTTACATGCCAACTCGATTGATGGCGGCTTGCAAAGGAAGTTGTGGCTCTATGGGCCAGGTCTATCCTATGCATGTTTATGCCATACATGACCTTGGAGGATGAGAACCATTATATCGCAGTTAGATATCAGTCATGGCTGTGCGTGTTGCCGCCTCTCGGGGGCCTGCTTCCATGCGGGTTATTCTCTCCATGGATATCACCCCCACTTCCATCTGGCCTTGTGCCGGTGTGGCTTTTAAAGCAGGTAAGCCATTGCTTATATAACTCATCTTTAGGGCTGTTTTACTATGTATATAGTCAGGTCAGTCAAGCCACCCTACCCATACCATCAACCGGCTTTTTTGACTAAAGCACTTTTTATCGCCAAGGAACCAATGGCAATGCGCTTTGCATCAATAAATTATTAGCGTCGGAGATTGACCAAATCGTGGTCAAAAGTGAAGTAAAGAACAATATAAAGTATGCGCGCAAGCAAGACTGACCAAACCGTTCACGGGTGTCAAAACAGATGATTGCTCGAAGTATCGATATGCTAGACAGTACGAAAAATAATTTTCAGATTCATCGTTTTCTTGTGTTCGAAATGTACAGGAATCGTTAGTGTTTAGCAACGAGACTTGTTCTCTCTTCCTGGACTGTCGCCCTTAAGACAACAAAAGTAATATTTAACATTCCAGTAAGTGTAGAAAGGTAGGTATTATAAATCTTTTCACTAGCCGCGCTTCCGGAATAAGTACTTTACTGCAGCACAAAACTTCTAGCCCAACCGTAGGAAAAGGCAGAACGCCAATGACCTAGACAAAATAACGCGTTAACCGCCGTCTACAAAACTTTGCAAATGCAGCGGATCTTGGCTGTTTTTATAGGTCTCCCACTGACCTTCGACTTCTGGTATAGAAAAGTCAACCGCCAAGTTTAGTTGTACCCCATGGTCTTGGCCGATCTTCAGGAGATTACTAGTTAAATGCAGACTGTGGAATATTCCAGAACGTTCGAAATCGATACCATAATCCATAGCGATCGGTTAATCGCTGAAATAATGGATTTTCCGGGAAATTCTTATTTTCTCCCGGACACCTCCCCACCTGAGATATGGCATCTGCGGTTTATGATGGAAGCCTGGGGTGTAGCTGCAATCTTCGGGACGGTGTTTTCTGACTGTCGGTTTATCTCCTAGAGTGACGTGCTCGAGAAGTGGGTTCCGACGTCCGTTGTTTGATTTCCTTACTCGACTGTGAGCAGTCGTCTAGGATTTCTTTTGGCAAGTTGAAGCTTTCCACCAATAAGTCGAACGGGAGATCGGCAGGCTTTGCTTCTTCCGGTTGGCACAGCGTTGGCCGTAGCTAGTTTGCATGTTGTGCCCAGAACTTTGTTCCCAAGACCACGTTATACATGACATTTATGCGCTTGTTTCTGGCTGTCCCTGGAGTAAGTCCACTTCGTGTGGCCTTCCCGATACTCACGTACTAGCACTCTGTCCAAGTGTAAACGGTCCTTTATTCGATCCATGCCATCGGTTAAAATCTTGTTCCATTCAACGGTTTCTTTCGCCAACAGAGGGCTCTGACTGCGGTCGGATGGTGTCGAAAGGCATGCGATGCTTTCCGTTCATCATAACCTGTGCTGGAGAAACTCCGTCTGACGCTTGTGCATTTGGTCTTGACATGTAGAGGAAAAGGAACCGGTCAACCACTTCTTCTATTTCTCCATCCCGTTTTGACTTGTGGAGAAGTCGTTTAAATGTATTGACAAACATTTCCGCCTGGCCATTCGACTGAGTGAAACGCCGGTAAGCGAATGTGCTGGACTACGCATTGATTACAGAACCCCGTAAATGTTGTGGAAGTGAATTGCGTGCCGTCGTCAGTTACAATTGTCTCTGGACAACCGAATCTGCTGAAGATTTGACGCAGTCCTGATACAGTAGCGTTGGTGGTTGTGCTATCCATGAGAAATACTTCAGGCCATGTGCTGTATGAATCGACTATGATGAGGCAATTTCGGCCGTTCATCGATCCTGCGAATTCCAAATGGATGCGGTACCATGGTTTAGTAGGTTTTGGCCATGAATGGAGCTCGGCTTTTTGTGGCGCTTTTAACACATTGGCGCACTTTTGGCAGCGTTTAGCCAGTTTTTCTAGCTGTTTGTACATGATGGGCCAGTATACATAGCTGCGGGCGAGCGCCTTCATCCGTTTGATCCTTGGATGTCCGACATGGAACTGCCGAATCACGCGCTTCTGAAGGGCCTTTGGGATGATTACCCTTTCCGAAAATAGTATATATTTCGTTCACAATATAAAGCGAATGTGTCCTCTGGTAATACTGTTGTAACTCGACAGCCGGTTGGCTGTGTAGACAGGGATGCGCTTTTTCGAACCAAAGATAGCCAGCAAGGTCTTGTGATCTGTCAGAAGCTTGAAGCGGCGGTCGTACAACAGTTTGTGGAATTTCTTGACTGCGTACCCTATAGCCAATGCTTCTTTCTCAGTCTGGCTGTAATTTCTCTCGGCCTTCGTAAGTGTTCTGGCGGCATGTAAGATTGCTTTCTGAGATCCATCGGAGTACGTGTGTGAAATTGCTGCGCCAATCCCATGGCTTGATGCATCTGTGACTAGAACAATCTCTTTGTAGGCATCAAAATGTGTCAAAAGCAAGTTTGAGGACAGCAATGTTTTAACTTGATCAAAGACATTCTGGCATTCTGATGTCCAGTTCCAAGTTTGGCCTTTGGCTAGTAGCTTGTTTAGCGGGGCACGCAGGCGGTGCATCTCAGACAAAATGTGCTGTAGTGGTTGATGAACCCGCAAAAGGAACGCAAGGACTGTAGGTATGATGATGGAGGCATTTTTCTAATGGCTTCTACGTTCTCCGGATCTGGTCGACGTCCATCCTTTTCAAGTATAAAGCCAAGATATTTGATGATCGGCGTGAAAAATGTACCTTGGTCCTTACCCATCCAGCCGGTTAAACAGCTTTTCCGGTGTTCGACCCATCACTATGATATCATCCAAATATGCAACGGCTCCAGAAACGC